GCTATTAAGAACCAGCTCTCCAGTCCCTGGCAGGGTCACCTCTTTCTAACTCTGTGAAAACTGAGAGAAAACTGCCTGACAAAGGTTCTATCTGTTCCCAGTGGACATTTTCGTCATTTTGTTTTGCCAGAGTAACGAAGTCTCCCCGTGGTTTCTTAGATGCTCAGGGTACCCGAGGTTCTGAGCACATTGTCCTGTCTGGCCCTCCCTGTCAGGGAGAGGCAGACAGGAAGGGCCCTCATGAGCTTTTCTCACTGCCCTGCATCAGAGAAAATAGGCCAGCCTTGGTTCCCTGTCTTTCCTGTTGAATTCTGACCTGAGGAAGGGTATCTGGGGACCAAAAGCATCTTAAAAAATCAATTTGTTCAGTTGCCCGTTCAATGCCTAAACCCCTTTCAGTATTACCACTAAAGCCCCCTGGGATGCACCAGGCATGTTTTTTGTGCGACAGATGCAGCAGCAAACAACCCCTGCCTTTGTGGGACCTGAAGTCGAGTAGCAGGGAGGTAGGCAGTCTTTGCTTTTGTCCCAGTGTATCCATTCATGTGCCAGTTATTGGTCACCTGTACATTTGACAGATGTATCTGTGACGCCATCAAAAGCATTGACAGGCATGTTGGAGGAGTCAAGAAAATAACCTTGAGCCAAGGCTTCAGAAACACCCTCCCACATCCACGCTGACAGGCAGCCACAGCCTCTGCTTGTGCACACGTTTCTAGCTGACCCCACTCTCCTGGCATTTATCTCATGTTCCTTCCTCTGATCCATGGAGGTGTCACAGGTTCTGCTGTCTGGTGCTTGCCAAGGGCTGTGAACCGTGTCCTCCTCCTTTCCTAAGGACCCGGGACATGGGATCTGACACTATCAGAGTGATGGGTGCACTGTCTCCTTGCCACAGCCCCAGTGCTCTGAGGACGCTCTCTCCTTCCTCTTCATGAACCCAGCCATCGGTTGCTTCTCTTTATTGTCATTGAAGTACAGTTACTTTACAGTGTTGTGTTGGATTCAGGTGTTCAGCAAAGTGATTCTGATATACGTGCATATATATGTATGTATCTATGTATCTCCATTCTTCTTTAGATTCTTTTCCCTTATGTTGGATCGGGTGTGTGTGCTCAGCTGCATCTGACTCTTTGCCACCCTGTGGACTGTAGCCCACCAGGCTCCTCTGTCCATAGGGATTCTCCAGGCAAGAATACTGGAGTGGGTTGCCATTTCCTCTTCCAGGGGATCTTCCCAACCCAGGGATCAAACCCACATCTCCTGTGTCTCCTGCACTGCATGCAGATTCTTTACCACTGAGTGACCTGGGAATTAGATTTTTTAGATTTCTTTCCCTTATAAGGTTATTACAGAATATTGCCTGACATAGGAAACCAGGAAAAAGAGCCTCACCAGAAAAGGGACTGAAGTTCTGCTGTCTAGAAGGCATGACTTGAGGCCAGGGTGGGGGACACGCAGCACTTTCTTGGGCAGCAAAGGAAGACAAATGGAGGCAGTGAGTGCGCAGAGCTTTGTAAAAGGCAACAGCCAAGACAGCTGGAACTGTGGGAGATGGTAGTTGATTCCACTCTGCTGGAACACAAATGCTCCTGGAATGGCAGGTAATGAGGCTGGAATGGCAGAGCCCACACTCAGGAATGGGGTTTCACTGGTGGCTCAGATGGTAAAGAGTCTGCCTGCTGGGCAAGAGACCCGGGTTCGATCCCTGGGTCAGGAAGATCCCCTGGAGAAGGGAATGGCAACCCACTCCAATATTCTTGCTTGGAGAATTCCATGGACAGAGGAGCCTGGCTGGCTACAGTCCATGGGGTCACAAAGAGTTGGACACCGATGAGTGACTAACACTTTCACTTTACCTTAATCACCTCTTTAAAGGCCCTGCTCCCAAAAGCTAAGGTGCTTTAGGTTAGGGTTTCAACATATGAATGTGTGTGTGGGGGGGGGGGCGTGCAATTCAGCCCCGACAGGGTGAAAAAAAAAAAAAAATCGAGGGAAGCTATGAACAGAATTCTCCAAGTAAGAATACTGGAGAGGGTTGCCATTTCCTTCTCTAGGGGATCTTCCTGAGGCAGGGATGAAACCCTAGTCTCACGTCTCCACATCTCTTGAATTGGCAGGAGGATTCTTTACCACTGCACGACCTGTGAAGCCCTGTGATTAAATACATGGGATTAAAAAAAAAAAAAGACCCATTCCTGAGGGTTCCTATGACTCATTGGAGTTGGGTAGAGCTGTCAGTTTCAAGCTGTTGAAAGGATGAATTAGTGGCATGAAGACCACAGGTATGAAGTAACGCTCCTGCCGACATGTGTATGCATCCAACACGGAGGTCTCCTTAACCTTGGCTGCCCTTCCTACAGCCTTGGGTACTTGTGAGGAATGCATAAGGGCATCCTTTAGAATTCTTTTCAATAAACATTCTTTTGAGACAGGCTTATTCCATTAGAAGAATATTACAAGATGACCATAGAAGTGTAGTCTTTATAAGATTCATGTGGCAAGTAAGGAAAGAAAGAAATATTAATAGATAGCCCTTTGGATGTTGTCCTTGTTTTTAATAAACAAAACAGAGAATTATAGATGTGAAGTCTGCCTTTCTTCAGGGCTCAATTTCTTTTTCTTTTTTTTTTTAAAAAAGGTTGGCTTTATTTTCAATTTGAAAAAGACAATTTTATAGAGTGGTCAGTCTAAGGTTACTCCTAGTGGTAGAATTCAGGGTTTTTTTTTAATTTATTTGGGGGAGAGGATGGGAGACTGAATATGTGGAATACAAAGAGAAATACTCTCTCCTGTTAATTCACGAATAATGCTAGATTGACATTGTTTTGTTTTGTTTATCTAACTTTTCAGTGCCCTTTGTCAGATCAGATTGAAGGGACTTCATTTTCGAAAAAAGACACATGATATATGTAAGGAGTATATTTAGCATCATATTCAGATCTGTGACTTTTTAAGCTACCAGCAAGGCCGCCTGGATTGCTAGTTCTGAAGATGATAAGGAACTGTAGTTGCCCAGCCCTGATGTTTCCTCTGCTGTGGCAGGAACTGTACTGGTGCAGCACCCTGGTCCTTTTCTCTGTCCACGTGGAACTGCTGGCAGGAGGCTGGGAGCACGCAGGGTCCAGCCCCTCCTCTGGGACCTCACTCCCCCCAGCAGCCCTTCCTCCGTCCTGGGTGTTTGCCAGCAGCTCCCGACACAGGGAGGCCGTGTGGCTTTCTAGTGCGGCCCGTGGCTGGGCGGGTGAGTTTATTCCATTCTGTGTCAGTTCTAGCAAACCCATGCTTAATGCACATCAGCCGTATTCTGCAGAGTCTGCGGGGCCAGGATCACTGGTAATAAAGGCAGTGTTTTGCCAGCCTGTCCGCCTGTTTTCTAGAGCTCATCCCTCAGCTGGTCCAGAATCTGGGCGGGGACCAGTCATTAGGCCGGTGTCTTAAATTCCCACAACTCCCTGATAGTTGTAGGATCTCTTACAGATGAGGAGGGTGGGGTGGGGGGGTGGCACTCTGAAGTTATGTGTGGAGTCCTGGTCAGTCTAATTCCCAAACTGATGTCCATTAGGGCACACGGACAAAATATCACCGAGAAAGCTAGTAGAAGTCTTTGCTTATGTAAATCACTGAGCGCTACAGAGGAGTTTTATTGGTAGCCTGGCATGTTCACACCTATAAACACAGACACTTTCACGCAGCCCATGTGTCCTGGAGTGCACGGATGCTTGTCCACCTGCCCAGTTCCTCTGGCTGCCTTGGCCTCCTCCAAAGCTTTACACTCTTTTAACATCCCAGGCATCCTGTTCTCTCCTCTGCCGGGGACACTTCCTTCTCTCCAGCCCTCCCCTCAGCCTGGTAGCTCCTGCTTACCCTTCAGATCTCAGCTCCAAGATCAGTTCCTCAAACCAGCCTCCATATCTAAAGACAACTCCATTATGATTTCTGCCAGCCACCTGACCGGCCATCATTGGTGATCACGTGTGCATTTCAAGCCTGTACTTCCCAGCAACTGAAACACTGTGAGCACTGGGGTCACTTTTCTGTTGTCCACCGAGGTGAGCTTAGGGTCTTAATATAGTGACTGCATGGGGTTGGCCCCCAGCATGGTTGCTGGGTGAATAATCAGACAAAATGCATTTGCCTTAAGGTCTTTGCCGCTTGTTTTCTCCTTAACACTTGCAAAAAACGTGGTAAAGAGAGCCTCTTTCCTGATAAATGTACTAAACCTATATAGGACTGAAATCTGTAGTCGTTCTTGAGGCTTTAAACTATGGGAAGCATGAATGAATTTCTAAGTGTGCATAAGTAAGGACTTATTCACTGTCTTGGGCATGGAATAGGACAACTCTGCCCCAGAGATGGAACCTGCTTTGTGTGGTCCTGGCTGTGGAATGTGGAAAGGAACTTCTCCCCTCGAGTTTCAGTGTTAGGTGATATTAAGGACCAACTTCCGCTTGCTTTTTGTAGCTCCAGGAAGAAAATTCTAAAGCTGAATCTAGTCCTTCAGACCCTTTCCATAGGAGCTATGCTAATACCTACTTATGTTTTTAATGTAGTTCTTGGTAAGCTGTTTATTAGTTCATATATAAAATGAGGTCAGTCATAGTGTAGTATGTGAATTAATTTTTTTTCTAGCCAAGTATAATACGATTATGTATTATAAAAAGACTAAGTGTTGATAGTTTGGGAGCAAAATAAAGGATTTTCCCATGTGCTTCTTCCTCTCCTCCCATTGCACTGGAATAACATAATGAATATCTTAGAGGGGCAAAACCAAAGACATTTCTTCGCACTTAATTTTGCATCTGTCAAATCCTCAAAGTGTTGATCAAGGCAGAATTTCGGTTTCTGGGCAGCTGTTTTCCTGCAACAACTGCCCATGGGTAATTAACAAGGGACCGAGATCTGGATGTAAGTAACACTGAACTCTGTGCCTTCAGGAGTATGTTTCCGGAAGACAGCTGATATTACTTCTTTTTGTCCTCTCCACCCCCACAACACAGGGCATTGATGTCCAGGATGCTCCTCTGAAGGAAATAAAGGTGACCAGTTCCCGGCGATTCATAGCATCATTTAACGTCGTGAACACAACCAAACGAGATGCTGGAAAATACCGCTGCATGATTCGCACCGACGGGGGAGTTGGCATATCCAACTATGCAGAGTTGGTAGTTAAAGGTATATAATGTTATTTTTATACCCCCACATAGTCTATTAAAACAGGCATGTGGGACGGTTATGAGCTCATGATTTTGTTGAAAGCTCATACTTACGCTCGTCTATTTCTGAACAGTGGTTTGGTGACAGGCTGTATTGATGGATTGCATTTTAAGTACAGATTTTGCACATGAGCAATATTTTTGAAAAATGTATTTTATTTATGTTGGTTCAGTTGCATACAAAGCCGTGACTGTGCTCTTGGCAAGTTCTTCTGCCAACTCTGTATACAGAGATTACAGCCTATAAATTTTTTTTAAGGAATGAAATTTTTTGTACTGATAGAAAATCACTTAATATGCAAATATTCCCTCAGCCAGGGTGTTTACGATAGCAGGGTGGTTAATAAAATGAGGCAGTGTCAGTATAGAAATGCTCCGTCATATCACCCAAACCACATTGATAACAGTGAGTTAGCATTCATAATGCTGCCGTTAGGGTCTATTACTGTATTTTGTGTGACTGAAGAATTAAGTCATTATAGTCAGGAAGGTGGGAGATGAGTTAAATAAAAGGGGGGGATATAAATTTCCTTTAGCTAGTTTGATGTTTTTTTTGTGTGCACGGACTTTGGAGTTTATAGTACTGAACTGCTAAGGCAGTTTTTGGTCCCAGACAGAATAATTTGGACTTTTAGATATACCATGAGGCATTTTTATACAACTTGTGGCAAGCCACTGCTGCTTCTTCCTAGGGGAACAGAATGATGCCTACTTTAAAATTTTTTCCCCTGCATTTGTTAAACGAGGAATGTAAAATCGGTTTCTTTTGGAAGGACTATTCCTTTTGTCAGCAAATTTCTCTATGCAGGCAGTTCTACAGACTGCGGGGTTCAAACCCCAGCGCTAGCTGCATGGGTGTGGTCCTGTGCTCTGGATGCTTCTTTTTCCTCAGGTTTAAAATCGACTTAATAATGAGTTTGACCCAGAACTCCCCCGGTGGGCCCAGCGGCTAAGATTCCAAGCTCCCAGGGCAGGGGTTCCAGGTTCCATCCCCGGTTGGGGAACAAGATCCCACATGCCACACAACTAAGACCTGTCGCAGCCAATTGGAAAAGAATAATAATGTGACTGACCCTCAAGGGCTATCAGGAAGATCAGATGCAACAAATAGGTGAATGGCGCTGAGAATACCTAGTGGGCAGCCCACACCTGTTCAGTCCATGATGGGAGAGAGGTGACTTTTACTCTCTCTGCTCTGGTCCATTAGTGGTCCTCATCTGAGAATGCACGGCTGAATCACCTTTCCGAAAATAATAACAATAATACACCAGCCACTTCTTCTCCACCCCCACTACCCCACCTGTATTGAATCAGAGTCTCTGGGGATAGAGCCTCTGCGATAAACTCTATAGGTGATGTGGGTAAAGGCTTCTGTTGTGAAACTAGCCCCACCAGTGTTAGTCATGCCTGGCCTGGGGGGAGCCTGACCCCAGCAGTGTTTATCTGCAGCTAACATGACTAACGTTCTGTGGAAGGAAACAAGAAGCCAGCCACACACTGCAGTTTAGACTCGAATGATCTAATTTGCCATGCCTGATCCCTGTGAGTGTGGGCTTGTAGCAAAGCTTTAACCTGTCTGGCTAGTTTTGGAGTTTGGATTTTATCTGTAAGCAGAGGGAACTTTGCATAAATGTGCACACCATCCCCTGCAGAAGGGTCTCTGGGTAGAAAACCCACACCATTTGCTGACAAATCCAGAGGACCGGCCCAAGGCTGAGTTCTTTATTGTCATCAGTGTAACTTCACTTTTGTCTTGGTCCAGTTCTTTGTGGTTGTGTCCTCTTTTCTGATTTCTGGTTGCTCCAGTGCTTCACTGTGACCACCTGTGCTGCCTGAGGCATGATGCTCTGTAATCAGTGTGATGAAGATTTAGTCGCCTCTAAAAATTGCCTCCGTGGGAAAGTTAATTTTTGGGGAGTTATCAGCAAATCACATGGCAAATAGATCCCCATCTATATGCCATAAAGTGGAAACAGTGACAGATTTTATTTTCTTGGGCTCCAAAATCACTGTAGATGGTGACTGTAGTCACAGAATTAAAAGACCCTTGCTCCTTGAAAGAAAAGCCATGACAAACCTAGATAGCATATTAAAAAACAGACATTACTTTGCTGAAAAATGTCCGTCTAGTCAAAGCTATGGTTTTTCCAGTAGTCATGTATGGATATGAGAGCTGAACCATAAAGAAAGCTGAGTGCTAAAGAATTGATGCTTTTGAACTGTGGTGTTGGAGAAGACTCTTGAGAGTCCCTTGGACAGCAAGGAGATCCAACCAGTCAATCCTAAAGGAAATCAGTCCTGAATATTCATTGGAAGGACTGATGCTGACACTCTAATACTTTGGCTACCTGATGTGAATTGTCGACTCATTGGAAGAGACTCTGATACTGGGAAGATAGAGGGCAGGAGAAGCGGGCAACAGAAGATAAGATGGTTAGATAGTATCACTGACTCAATGGACATGATTTGGAGCAAACTCCAAGAGATAAGGACCGGGAAGCCTGGCATGCTGCAGTTCATGGGATCACAAAAGAATTGGACACGACTGAGAGACTGAGCAACAAACAATAACAATAAGCAAGTCAGACATCTCTGGTCTGCCAGAACACACCTAAGCGCAGAGGATGTGTGGGTTCAACTCACATTTCTGCCTCACTTTTTCCTGCCTTAGGACAGCATGGGGAACTCTTGACTCCTCATGATAAAATGTCCAGGCACCTCTTTTGCATCTCTGCATCCTGCCCAAGTCAGTGACAACTGGCTTGCAGTTATAGCACAAATCTGGAATTTGACTTTTCCTCCACTTATAATTTTTATTGCCATCTTTTGCATATATTTTATTTTTTGAAATGAGGTAACATGCCAGATTCTACTAGTCAAGTAAAGAATTTCCTCGACACGGTTACTTTAAAAGACATAATGACATGTTTAGGCCACATGTATATGATTGAACACATTTTCTGTGTGTGTATTTAGAATGCTAATATTTTTTAAGATGACAAAATCTTAAGTTGTTTACTGCTTTCTTAAGGTCATCTCTGATTTGATGTCCCCAAATGAAGCCCAACTTATTTTAAACTATCATGCTTGTCTTATTTATATCTACCACTGCTTTTGGTAATCAAAAACAAGAAAATATTTCATATAATCTCTGCAATGAGTGTATATATGCCTATATATCAGTGTCATATTTAATTATAAAAGACATATATTAAGAATTCACTTATATATATCAATTATATATATGATATGTATCTATATATATAAATTTTATTTATATAAATAAATAACTTGATTTAGAATTACTTTTAACATGCCCTTTCACTTGGATTAAATATTTTAAATTGCTTTTTATCACTTAGTAAGACTGAGTGCCTTCCTTCTTTCCCTTTGAGAAAATTTATTCAAAATTTAAATATTGACTTATTATTGTAGATTCTTCTAGCAACCCCAAAGTCCTTTTGAATGACTGTCTCAATTATTTCCAGATTCTAGTTGAATCTTTCATCTGACTTAATGTATTTGGTACTCTTCCTAATGGGGAACTAATAGAGAAAATAGTCTTGGGACGAATAAGCATTAAAGTCCTGTCTATTTTAGGAGACTAGTAACAATGTCCTAAATGAATTGTGTGCTCACTAACCTTTGTGGCTTTGCCCCTGAGTCCTATTTTGAGTGGCAGTTCAGGAGCCCTTGCTAGCATGTGCAACTACAAAGTAATTAACTGCTTTTTCAGCCTGGCTACGTCAATGCCTTAGGATATACTAGAAAAGGCCCTTTTCATGTCTTGGTTCAAGGAATTGCCTAATGATATAAATTGATGTTAAATCATTATGAGTTGCATCAAAGCTATCTCGAGAAATGAAGAGCTGACACAGAGTTTTAGTTCATAAACAATAGGAACAATAATTTAATAAATTTGCACTAAATTTGCAGTCCCCTAAATAAAACTCATCTTGTGTCTTATGTAGACTTAAGTCTCATGAGATTTCCCTGACTATTTTATTTTTTGACATGACCCCATACATTTATTGAGGAGGACATGGCAACCTACTCCAGTGTTCTTGCCTAAAGAATCCCCTTGGACGGGGGAGCCTGGTGGGCTGCAGTCCATAGAGTCGCAGAGAGTCAGACATGATTGAGTGACTAAGCATGTACATTTATTTATTTTATTTGGCTATGCCAGGTCTTAGTTGTGGCATATGGGATCTTTAGTTGCAGCATGTGGAATCTAGTTCCCTGACTAGGGGTCAAACTCAGACTCTCTGCATTGGGGGCATGTAATCTTTACTCCTGGGCCACCAGAAAAGTCTCTTCCCAGCTATTTTAAAAGTTAGTATGATTTATCACACCTTGAATATGTTAAAGAAGAAAAAATATGCCCCAACTTAACAGAAGGTGGTCGTGTTGCTCATTTCTTATTGGTCTAGGAACCAACTTGGTATCATCTCGGGGCCCAAATCTCAGATGAGACCAGCAGTCCTGAGGTCCTGATCAGCAGGAAACGTGGCAGGGATCAACTGGCTATGTATGCCACGAAGCAGACAGGTGCATATGCCAGTGACAGAATCGTTGTTCAGTCACTAAGTCATGTCCAACTCTTTGCAACCCCAAGGACTGCAGCACACCAGGTTTCCTGTCCTTCACCATCTCCCAGAGCTGGCTCAAACTCATATCCATTAAGTCAGTGATGCTATCCAACCGTCTCATCCTCTGTTGCTCATCCTTCTTCTTCTCCCATCCTCAGTCTTTCCCAGCATCAGGGTATTTTACAGTGAGTCAGCTCTTTGCATCAGGCAGCCAAAGCATTGAAGCTTCAGCTTCAGCATCAGTCCTTCCAATGAATATTCAGCTTGGTTTCCTTAAAGATTGACTGGTTTGATCTCCTTGCTGTCCAAGGGACTCTCAAGTCTTCTCCAGCACCACAATTCAAATAGGAGGCTTTATTTTCCAGACGTTTGTGTAAACTAGATAAGGAGTTGAAAACAAAAACACGCAGAAAGGCACAAACCACCTGCAGAAACATTCTCGAAAAAAATTACTAGAGCTTAACGTTTTTATCTGATGGAGATTCATTAAATAGAAACATGTTATTTCATGCAATTACCTTCCTCCCTAATGTCATGTATGGTGCCACTCACAGTGACATTGGCACATGGAATGTCTTTATTTGGTGCCTGGAGAGCCATTCAAGTGGCACTCGATATACGGGGAATGCTGTTGTAAACAAGATTGCCTGTTTCTCCCATCTCAAAGGTCCAGAGAAAGTCAGTCTTGTGTTTTAAACAAGGAGGGGGACTTTCTTGAGTTGTAAGTGTTTGCCATTGATTGCTTAGAGGTTTATCAAGTTGTGCATGTGCTTTGTTTTAGAGCTTTTCTTTCTCTCTGTGGCTTTAATAATACTCATTAGTGGAAGTTCCCTCAACAGTGGCTGTGCTGGACTTTATTACCCCAAGTGCTCACTGCTCTGAGAGCAGAAGGAATCCATTGGGATGGCTTTTTGGGGTAAATGAGGCATCCTGGAAATGCATTTATGATGAGATAAAGTATAATTTCATCTGTGTTTTTCAAGTGATGATATTCTTGGAATATAAATTTAAGAAGATTGAATTTAATGATATAAGTAATACCTTGGGTGATGTCAAAGACACTGTTGACAGTGGCGAGCCTTCTAGAGCTTAATTACTACCATCTGAGAGAGTTTTTACAAGTTACTTTTAGTCCAAAATAAAATCCTTTGACACCTATGTACGTATTCAAGAAAAAATGAATTGCATCCTGAAACAAACTGGGATTGTACCTACCTGAACAGGCTTAGGCTTTACAGATGGCTTATTTCACAGATTTAAACACTCTGCAGACCTCTCTCAAGGTGCTTTTTCTTATTTACCTGAGCAAAACAGTTCTCATCCGTTCATCACTAAACTGTCAACATCTTCCCGGTTTTAGTGATTGATGTGCGTTGAACTCTTTCCAAGTGTCTGAAGGATGGCCCTCTGGTTTACCTTTCAGAGCCCCCTGTTCCCATCGCGCCCCCTCAGCTGGCCTCTGTGGGGGCCACCTACCTGTGGATACAACTCAACGCCAACTCCATCAATGGGGACGGGCCCATTGTGGCCCGGGAGGTGGAATACTGCACGGCCAGTGGGAGCTGGAGCGACCGGCAGCCGGTGGACTCCACAAGCTACAAAATCGGGCATCTGGACCCCGACACGGAGTATGAGATCAGTGTGCTCCTCACCCGGCCTGGGGAGGGCGGCACCGGCTCCCCTGGGCCCGCCCTCAGGACCAGGACCAAGTGTGCTGGTGAGTCTGGGGACCCTGGGACCGCTTGTCCGTGTCTGGTGGGGTCTGACCTGCAGCCTCAGTGCAGGGGGCTCACGCTTTCCTCAGCTCTGCTGGGACCCTGTGTGGGCATATAGGAGGTCCCTTCACCTGTGGGCAGCCACCTGTGGATTCAGACCTCAAGGCTTGGTCTCACTCAGGACGTCTCCACCCCCGTTCTCCCTGTTCTTCATTGACACCTTCCTAAGAGTATCACCTAGTTCATATGGGAATCATCCCACAGTCAACACAAACTGTCCACTTTAATGATATCCGCTCACCAGTCAGCACCTCCCATCTAGGTCTCTTCAGTTTATGTTCCCTGTTGATGTGCTTGTCGCCTGGTGGGGTTGGGGGTAGGGGGCGGCTTTGGAAGAACAGATTCCACCTTAGCCATGTGTTTTTATGGACGGATATTGAATGGAGGGGCTGCTTGCCAATGACACAGGGCCCATTTGTAAGACAAGCCAGGGTGATTTTCAGGCTGCACACAGGCTTTAAATTCTCAGATGATAAAGTTCTAATTGACTGTGTGGAGCCGGCTCTGTGGGGTTGATGGAGAGAGAAATGCAGAGTCTTATAAAAATCAAACCCCAAAGAAAGCTCCTGTCAGAGGTTCAAGTGCTGTTTCTGTCTGGCTGCTCTCCAGTCGAAATAACAGAAAGAAGTAACAGGTTGGGACACTGAAGTGCTCTTTCATCATTTGAAGGAAGATTCTTACACTGAATCGCGGCCTGAGCTAATGAGACTCCAGAAGTTTTTATGGAGACAATTGATTCTTCAGGTAGCATCATTTAAGGGGACACTTATCGATAGGTTTCATTTCTTCTTAAGTTTTAAAAGTACTCAGAGCAACAGCCTAACCGTGTCTGGTAGGAGAAATGATTAAACCTTGACAATGGTAACTACTTCATTCTTTCTTCATAATTTTGAGTATATGGTTTCCAAAAGCCAAAACCTCATGGGAAAAAAAATTGTTTTTGTAAAAATACTTCTGTTCGAAAAGAAAACAGGACGCTTATCTTCTTGAAATATTGCTACTGGGCCTGCCTTTTCCACCCACGTCTGTTTCCTGGGCCCCCATGGCCATATCATGCTCAGTGCAGAGTCTGGCATAAGACCTGTGGTAATGCCCACAGCTGCCATGGGTGGTCCATAGAGAACAAAGTTGGATAACACCTTCTGTGCCTCGCTTTCCTAAACCATGTCATCCCATCTCTCTCTCTTTAACGAATGCAATTTCCCTTCTTTCTTTGAAATAGTTTATCATCTTTCATAATGCAAACAATAGCTTGTAACACTGTTTACATCATTTTACAATTTAGGAATCGCTTTCAAATCTGTTGCTTATTTTGTAACCGCTTCATGAAGTCTCTGGAGTCAAGACTATGACCCTCTCCCTGTTGTTGTTTAGTCACTAAGTCCTGTCCAACTCTTTGCGACCCCATGGACTGTAGCCTGGCAGGCTCCTCTGTCGATGGGATTTCCCAGGCAAGAATACTGGAGTGGGTTGCCATTCCCTTCTCCAGGGGATCTTCCCGACCCAGGGACTGAACCCGTATCTCCTGCATTAGGCAGGCATTGGCAGCCAGATTCCTTATGCTGCACTACACGGGAAGCTGACCCCCTTCCTAGAGATTAGGAAATGGAGGCCCTTGTGGTCTGCTTTCCTCCACGCCTGCTCCTTGAGCAGTAAGTTCATGTTCTCTGACTTCAGTGTTATTTGGAGGAATCCTGCTTGGGGGCCACGGTGCAAGTCAGTCTTCCTTTCTCTTCAGAAGAAGGTTAGGATCCCATTCACTGACAACCCCTCCCACCTCATCTTTTTAGTCTGGTCTTTTCTCCTGATTCTGTGTCTGTGTATTTCAGGTATTGACATGATTATTACCTACATTTCCCTTAAACCTAAGGTGTGTGTCTCTGTTTTCAAGAAGCCTTTTTGTTACTGTGGCGTAATGTGTAAATGTAGAGCCTTTCATAATCGATTGGCAGCCCTTCTTAAGACATTAAAACCAGTTCTGAATGGATAGTTGCATGTCAGCCCTGTGCCTTAAAGTTTTAACCTCTCTTAAGCAAGGAAGTCCGATGAGAAGGCAAGCTTTTTCCTCTTACCATTTGCAACCTGCCATGTTCACTATTGCAGGTGTATCTTGCAGGGGCATTGAGCATCTTTTGAAAAAACTGGTTGAGCAAGTCAATCTTAGGAAATAGAAATATGTTAGGTGAGAGGGTCAAAGCTAGAAATAAGAGGGGAAGATGATGGGTAGGTGAGCCAAGGGATGTTGAATGAGCCTTCTACTGTCAAAGAAATACAGCTTCACCCTCTCCTGACCTGAGGCTTTTGAGAAAATCTGCAGGAAAGCTTGCCTACTGCTGTGGTGAGCTGTGTGGAATGTTGGTGCACAGGACAGAGTGAAAAGAAGCAAGACTCTGGACTGAGAGGTGTGCTAGTGGTCCCCACCTCTTCCTCAGGTGGTTCACCAGCATTTAAGGCTCAGAAAGAACAAGTCATGGACCTCATAACCTGAGAGAGATGCTGAGCATTCTGCAAAGCAGGTGGAAGATGGAAAATGACCTTCACTGGGCATAAACAGTGGATGAATCTAAGAGGGTGACAGGTAGTAGGAATAAATGAACATTCATCCCAGGTGGTTTAAAAGGCCAAGACTATGTGTCCAGAATTAGAGAAATAAAATTTAGCAGCAATACATAAAAAAAGAGATTGAGGATTAGGTGTAAATGTGTATGAATATACAGTATGGTCCATATTGTATTAGTCATTCTGTAGTGCTATTGCCTTGCCCTCACCTCCCCTCAAGTGAAAGGTGGTGCTGGAGAAGACTCTTAAGAGTCCCTTGGACAGCAAGAAGATTAAACCAGTCAATCCTAAAGGAAATCAACCCTGGATAGTCATTGGAAAGACTGATGCTGAACCTGAAGCTCCATTACTTTGGTCACCTGTTGTGAAGATCCTGATGTTGGGAAAGATTGAAGGCAAAAGAAAAAGAGGGTGGCAGAGGATGAAATGGTTAGATAGCATCACCATCTCATTGGACATGAGTGTGAGCAAACTCGGGGAGATAATGAAGGACCAGGAAGCCTGGTTTGCTGCAGTACATGGGGTCGCACAGAATCAGACACGACTTAGTGGCTGAACAACAACAAAACAACACCCACCCCAAAAAAAGGTCCCGAATGTAAGCATAGGTTGCATTAAGATAACAAATGCCTTGTTGTAGGAGGTCAGCTATTATTATCACTCATTTTAAAAGAGAGAGAACACAGAATAGGCTGAGCTCAAAGGAATGCACCCTGGATAGGGAATGCTCTGAATTTCGCTCAACCATTGAGGAATGGTGGAAGAATTGAGATGGATGATGGAGAAGAGCAGGGTATCTGCACATTTGACAAGAGCTAAGTCATGACCAGGAGTTTCCAGTGGCTGGTGGGTTCAGGCAAAAGCTGGTGTTGCTGAAGGAGATTGTGTATTCATGAGAGGACTGAGCTGGCTGAACCTGGAGGCCTTTTCCACGTGAGGATTCTATGGTCTCTTTTTAATGAAATGATCCAGTGTGTTCTTCTAGCTTGAAAACCTCTGAGCTGACTTTTTTATTTCATCCTTGATGAAATTCTCTGTAATCATGTTTATCAAGCTGCTGGCCAGCGGAGGTCTCTGATGACCTTTGCCAAAGCCTGAGCAGAAGTAGGGAAACACTGAGTTTTAGGGTAGCAGTTTTTGTGCTAAAATATCACTTTCATGAAAAGCTTGTGGTTTCTGGAGCCGGAGTCAGCAGTTGAGAATTCAGGCTCTGAGACCAGGCTGCTAGGATTTGAGTCTTGGCTCTGCCTGGAGCTAGACATGTGACCTTGGGAAGAACTCACACCTTCTCTGAGTTTCTGTCGCCTTATCTATGAAACAGGAGTGATACTAACAGTTGGCATCTCCTATCTCCTAGTGTGGTTGTGAAGTCTTAGAAGACAATACATGTGAGGTGCCTAGGACAGAACCTAACACGTAGCAAGGAGTCAATACAGGTTAAATGCCAGTGAAAAAAAATTATCTTTTAGCGTTTTCATTCAAAAGAAGTAGATGTTGGCAACCTGATTTCCTTGCCCTAGATAACTTAATCTGGTAAGTCAAAAATCGGAAGGATTCTGTTTATATTTGGGCTCAGAGAACCCCTTGCAGTTGGGCGTTGCATCCATGCCAGACATCATTCTCTCATTTTTTTTTCTATTAAATCTGTTTCTTTTGGACAAACTATTTTCATTACTGTGCTGCACCCATGAGGCCTATCCTATCCCACTGTGGTGACACCCACGAAACCATGTTTTGTTTCTTGCATTGAAATGAAATGGTCACTGTTTATGGCCCGTCTCTGTGCACTTACATTGATTTTCACACGTGGCATGTAGATGTGGTTTCATCACCTGCCAGGTTTCTTTCAAGAATTGTAGGGGAGCACACTGCCAGACCTTTTGCTTTCTGACGCTTCCCAAAATGATTTTCAAACGTATGCACAGGCTCTGCATGTGTGACCTTGATCAAATCACTGTTCTCTGATTCTCCAAATAGGCACTGTTGACACCTGCCCAGATCATATCCAAGGTGTTTTTGAAGATCAGGTTAGACATTATCTGTGAAAGTATTTTAGAGATGAGCAAATCCTCTGCCTACATGGGATATTAAAAATGATTATTGTCAAGAGCTAGTTTCAAGATTTATACACACATCTAGTTATTTTCCAACCTTGCCATTCGGCTAGAGTTGGGAAACCTCGGAGAGCTGAAATTATTTCAGTATCCAGTGGAGCAAAATGCAATTTAGTTTGTATTTTCTATTATATCTTATATTCTTGTAATTATGTGCAGCCTGTATATCACAAGTCATTAGCTGGGAGCTCCTTGAAAAAGAGAAATAGGAGATGCTGTTAGCTTCATTCTCGCAGTGGACTTTTTAAGTATTTTATTTGAGGATATTG